GGTTGAGTTTTTACAAATGTGATGCTGTGACTCATTCTATTCTCCTCACCCACTGGACTTGGTTTCTTTGAAGTGGATTCAGCAGCCTCCCCGCCCGGGGCGGGCACACCTTCTCCAGTAAGGAAATGCTCAGAGATGCTCTCTTCTTTGTTAGCCAAAAAAAAAAAAAAGTAATGTTCCTACCTGGTAAAAAAAAAAAAAATTCAGACAATGAAAGAGTTTCTGGGAAGCTCACCCCCACCCCCCATCCACCCCAGTCTCTCAGCCCCTTCCTGGAGGCAAACTCAGCAGTGAGCTTCTTGTGTCTCCTTGCCTGACCGTCTGCTGCTCCCAGAAGTTTCAGCTGATGGCGCCTTCCCATCCAACATGCAGGGGAGCATGCACTAACTGTCCTATGCTCATGAGCCAGATATAGAGATTCTTATATATCAGCCCAGGCATCACCACTTCATTCTTTTCAATAGCGGCTGCGCTCTCATTGTCTGACCAGCCACAGTTTATTTAACCTGTCACCAGCTGGTGGTCACACAAGTCACTTCTGGTCTCCTGCTGTTAGCCACAAGAAGTAACACAGAAGTACATTCAGAGAATAAATCACTAGGAGTGAAATTAATTTTATTCTTAAGACCCTTTCTTAAAATTTTTTATTTATTTATACATACAGAGTACAGGCCAGAGGTGCAGGGTCGGTGGGAATCTTCACCACAGACAGAGTGGGGAGCACAACAGGCAGAGCGACGAAGTACACTGCTGAGGGGAGCAGCGGGCGGGTCAGGAGAGGTCTGCCGCGCCATGTGGTCACCTCCGGGGCAGGGATCGAACTCATGCTGCTGTGGCTTTAGTTTCTTAGTGCTGTGCTTTAACCTGCTGCACCACCTGAGAGGGCCCCTAAGACCCTTAATAATGAATATTCACCAGACTTCCTTAGTAACCCACTCACTGTCTTTTAGGGAGATGTTTTGACCTAAATTGCACTTGCTCTCAGGCGTTGGCTTGAACGAAGATAAAACACCCTGTTTCTCAAGGCCTTGTGTTGGGAAAGTGTTACTGAGTGATCCTTGTCCAGTCATTACTAGTTCAGAGAACCTTAGCTGCTGTCCTTCATAGTCTGCGTTCAGACTTACATTCACACTGTTCCTTGCGCTAAGGTGATTTTTGACGTCCCACTTGTGGGCTAGCCTCTGCGGTGTTTGAAGCAAAGCTTCCTAGGGCTGTGTCACACACAAACAAGACCTCCCTAGAGTGGAGCCTGTGTCAGCCTCTGGTCACCCCTTTGAATTAGAGAAAGGCTGTGCAACCCCTCTTCCCAGGCACCCCACTTATCCCAAATAACGTAGCAACTAGTTAGAGGTATTAGTCTCCCTGGTGCTGATGCCTGACCAGGGTGGGGCGGGTCTCCTCTGAACCAGCTCCAGCCTGAAGGAGGGGCCTGGGCGATCATGTGGTTGGCTTCAGAAGCTCAAGGCTACCTCCCAGCTCATCAATTTGGACACATTTCTGTGTTGTAACAACCAGCGCAACCCACAGGCGAGCAGGCTCTGACTGTGCTTCCCTCTGGGAGGGCTTGGGAAGTGTGAGGTGATTTCTTAAGAAGCCCCGGACTTGTGGTAGGAGAGTGGGTTTGAGTCATATCTACACAGCTTGCAACCAGCCGCGGACATTCTCGCGTCTCTAAATGACGGCGTTTGCACCATATAGTATCTGCTGCTTCTTTTGCTTTAAAATTTGAAGAAAAGAAACCGGCAAAAATGGCCCAGGAAGTAGGTTCCCCACTTGAACCGTTTTCCCTGGCATTTCATGTCTACACCAGCATGATGCCATTTCCTGCCTAAACTCCTCCTCCAAAACCAGCCAAGGAAGTGAATTTGGGGAAGGAGCTGAAAGAAGCAAGGTGGTTCCTTGGCCCGGGCAGCATGAGACGTGTTCCCAAATTATGGAAAGTGTTAAGCAAAGGAGCCGGGTTCAAATCCTGGCTTGGCTTTATTCATGTATTCATTCATTCGCTCCCTCCCTCTTTAACTATTGAAGGGCTTCTACCAAGTGATGAGCTGGACTCTGGGGGTGGCATAATGAGTGACATAACATTTCTTGTTCTCTTGGCGCTTATGTTCTGGAGAAAATTGAGCAAGCCACTTGACCTCTCTGGATCTAAGTCTTTCTACCTAGAAATGCTCTCATAACTCTCGGTGCCAGTGTCTCTGTCAGACAGCACTAATCAATTACAGCACTCGGCGCAGCCACAGCCAGATACCAGAAAACAAATCTCTATTTTATCTTGGGCTAGAGGAATCCTTAAGTCTTTTCTGCTCCCAATCTCATTCTTATTTCTAGTCAAAAGGGGAGGGGGCACTTTTAAGCTGAAGGGAAAATGGAAGTAGTATTGCAAATCTGGGCATGATTGAAGCCACAGATTTTGCAAAGAAAACCAGCATCATTTTAGTCTTATTGGCTCCAAAAGATAGGAGCTTTTGCAAAAACTATTTTGGATCTTTGGGGCTTAGATTTTCCTTCCACTGTCTCTTCTGCAAGTTCAAGTCACTTACTTTGATTCCTGGATAAGGGCGAGGTTGGTCATCATTCACTTTGAACTCCTTTCGCTTTGGAAATCCCCTTTATGAAGGCTGCCTTTACTGGTGTCAGGTCAGGCAGAATCAAAGTCTGTTCATTTTGATACGACTTTCTGCTACTCACTCGAAGCTTCACCAGCAGTCGCTAGCAGACTTCCTAGGGGCTGCCGTCACGGCCATCTGTCACCTTATGTTCCACTGCACACGTGGAGCCAACCCAAGTCTGGACAGAGATCCACCGCCTGGTGATATTTTGCCCTGGATTCCAAAGACACCCTTATTGTATTTCCATTTCTCATCTTTCCTCCCTGCCCCAGAACAGATCAGCGAGTCCAGGATGCCGAAGGGCTCAAGTGACAAAGAAAAAAATTTAAAGCCTCTGTTGGAACTGATCACTCCACCATCTTGGGTTTTTTCCCAAGTGCATCTATACCTGTAATGGCAGTTAGGTTTGTGGGCATTGAGGAAATTTTGGCTTATTTGATTCTGTTAGATATTTACTCAAGGGTCAGAGATTATGAAGAATTTGCTTTTATGGCTTCCAAGGAGCCAGAGGTGTCTTTCTCTATAAAAAAAATGCCTTTCCCCACTGAGGGACAAGACCAGGGTGCCCCTTGAGGCAAGCTGCAGTTCTTATGTTTTGTTGCCATTTTGTAACTTATACAGAAACCAACTCTTCCTTCTCTGAGAAGTCCAGGAAAAGAGATTATTTCCATCATTTAATCATGGATGTTTAAACCGAGGCATCTTTTAGGAAAGAGAAAAGTGATCTTTATTCCTAAGTTGAGTTCAGGGAATTCTTGTAAGAGAGCTAGTAATGGGAAATAAATCACTCTTAGCTTTGTTTATAGCAGTACAAATAAGTATAGATGAAATAACACTGCTCTCCCTGTAAGATCGTTTGTGTGTGCCTCTTTTTCTTGGAGTCACAGAACTTTCCCACATTTGTGAAATAAAGTGGAAGGCTTCCTAGGTTTCAGATGTGTGGTGAGCAAGTTTTCCTCAGGGCAATATGTTGGGAAAATTGGGAAAGTCTGTACAGAAGGAAAGAGACTGATGTCATGAGGATGGGTGGTTCTGAGACCCAACTGCTGACTTCGAATCGACTTCAAATCCCAGCTCTTCTCTTATCATTCAGCCCTTTCTATGACTCATTTTTTTCATCTGTTAAGTGGGAATAATAAACCTCTTTCATACATTATTGTGAATTTGAATGAGATTATTCCTGAAATGTGTTTGGCGTGAGGCCTATTCCAGGTGTCGAATATTTTGGCAGCTGTGCCACCATTTCCTCCTATAGACTGGAATAAGGATCAGAATTATGTAAGGATCGGAATTATATGACTATATAGGATGAATTTATATTCTGTAATACCTATATGCATTTTTGTATATATATGTATATAATTGCAACAGTTTGGGACATAGTGTTTGTTACTGAAGCATTAGCTGCTGTCATTATTACACAAATTCAAAATGCATTAGAAGAGCTATAGATAAAGCATTAAGCAAACTTATGGCTGAGCTGAGAAATTTCGCTCTAGGCTTCCTAGCTCTGTGACTTAGGCGGATTATCTTAACTCTCTGCCTCGGGCTTTCCACCTGTAAAATAGGACTAATAATAGAACTTACTTTATAAGATTATGATGAAAACAGTGAGGTGACTGGGTCAAGTGCTTCACAGGTGCCTGGCATTCAGTCAGTGCTCTAAAACTGTTGGCTAGTATTTTCACTGAAATGTTGGAGCTGTGTAGAGGGATCCAGGGAGAACGTGGCTTCAGAAACCATGTTTTTCCCGAGATAACCGAGAGGCGGTTCTCTTGATGTTGGCAGATGCCGTCACCCTCCTGAGCTTTGTCTACGCCTCCAGTGGAGAAAACACGGGCATCGTGAAGAAGATTCCCAGGTTTCAGAACCGAGAGCTGGAAGCCACCCGACACCAGCGGATAGATTACCCAGTGTAAGAATGGGCAGGGAGGAGGTACCCGGGGTCTTGCAGGTCACCTGAGGACCAGGACCGGGGCAGGCGGTGAAATCCCTTCAGGGGACGCTCCTTTGAAATAAGGTTTGGAAGAAACATTGAGACCGTCCTAGTTTTAGGAGGAATTGGAGGGCCTGAAAGCTTCCAAGTGTTCTGGCATTATTCCTGCACTTCCAGTGCTCACTCTGCCTTAGACTTTCTAGGTCGGTCCCAGGAATGACTCAAGTTGAAGTGCATGTTGTGGAGCCTGAGCCTTGCTGAGGTTTACGTGTAGTCAGCCACAGCTAGCCCAGATTGCAGCCTTTGCTCTGCCTTTTCTGTCTTGGAAGATTGGACGAGCTGGCTGAACTCGCAAAACTTCTGATCCCCTCTGTTGATTTCAGCAAAACCCAGATATATTTTTTTTCCTTCTGCTGAATCGAAGATGCCGAAAATGGTTCCTGGTTCACCTCAGACTAGATGGATTTAGCAGAGTGATTCAATTTTTCCCATGCTGCTGGCTGTAGAAAGATCTTGAGTCACTTTACTCAGCGTATGTTCTTGCTAAGCTTCCTTGTAATAACTTATCTTCATGAGCTCGCTCAGCTGGGTGGGTCAGTGGGGAGCTGTGTGACACCATCTGTTTGCATATCTTACTACTGATTTGGAGGCCAGATTATAAAGCCTGGAATATTCTAAAGGACTTACTTGGATGTATCCCCAAAGAACCTGGGGTTACTGACACTTAACTCAAACTGTGACTTGGTGATTGGAGGGGGATGGGGAAAATTCTGTGCTTGTTTTGACCTTGATTCATGTTTCACATATAAAACACAGTGACTTTGCACTGCTGGTCCCTAACACAATGTGCGGCCTCAAGAAAGGGTCCAGCAAATATTTGCAAAATGATCGACGGCTCACGTGGTTTGGCTAAAAGTGTCCTAGTTAAGGAGACTACTGTTGTTTTATCCTCACTCCACCAATCACAGATGTACAGTATTTTTTTCCCCAACCAAAATAGCCCCAGTCCAGAAATGGAACTGTAAGGTTAGTTGTTCCATATCGGCCGGTGAGAACTGTGATACTGAACAAGCTAACGTGGGCATTGAAACAGGCTCTGTGGGTCCCGTTAGCATAGCGTGATGCCATTTGTAGATGATGACATTTTTCTACCTTAAGGCTTTTATCTTTGAAAGAAACAAAATTGCTCAAAAAGCCCTAATTATATTTTTCTTCTAATCATCGAAATTACAATAGCTTCTTATCAAATCACCTCTTATTAAAATCCAGGTTTTTATTCTGTGTCTGGCTTTGTAAACCTTAATCAAGAATTCAGATGGCAGGCGCCCGAGATTCTTGAAGAAGCACAGAAACAGTTCTGGTGCAAGGTAGAGCAGGGGCTAGTTTTGTACAATGAAGTTCAACTCTTGTCTTTGGCAGTTACTATAACTACCTCCTTTGTCTCAAACATCAGGCTTTGCAAGCTGATCTCCCAGGATGAACATGAAGGCAAATTCATCCCTTCATTGGAAAGAAAGCAATTTACTTGGTCATTGTGCACCATAATTACCTGCTCTTGGATGATATCAATCTGCAGAATTTTTTTCCTTTTCATTCTTCCAGGTTTACTCTTTCACTGTGGCTTTATTTACTCCATTATTGCAAGGCCAACCTCTGTGGGATTCTGTACTTTGTGGATTCTAATGAGATGTATGGTACGCCTTCTGTATTTCTTACCGAAGAGGGTGAGTATAAGACAGAGCCTGCAAAACGATACCGTAATTTTCGTATGCTCTACTGGGAGACACATCTGTCTAGAATAAGCCGATATTATCGACGTGGCAGTTCAAGGAGAGTGAAGGCTTCCAAGTATGGGCTTCCTATTAAACGTTTCTCTGGAAGCTTAAAACAAATGTCTTATTTGCAAAGGAATGCACTTCTGTGCTTGGCTTTGTTTTTGTCTAAAGGAAGGAGAAACGTGATCTAGTCTTGTAACAGCTTAGGATAATTTCCAGAAAGGTATAGCCCCTTCACCTATTACCAAGTTATTCTTGTGATTTGCATAAGCTTTAATTTTCCTTTTAGGCCACTTGCATATTCAAATGCATCTTGTCAAAGGAGAAGACCTTGCTGTGAAAACGAAATTCACTGTACCTTTGAAGGAGTGGTTCCGACTGGATATCTCTTTTAATGGAGGCCAGGTACCCACTTGTATGCGCCGTTAATGATCATGCCAACATCTTCACTTCACGTTAAGCTATAAATTCAGGGGGAAGGAGGTCTGCAAAAGCAGGTTTGGTAAAGGATGCACTCTTTAACACTGTATACTTTCTAAATCAAGTTTTATGGGTGGAAGTTTAAATCGAGATTCCCATCCCATTTAATTAACTTGTCAGGTGACCATATTGTGAGTGGGTATTAACACAACCAGTTACAGGACCTCGGTGACATGAGCGGTTAAATCCCTTTGCCCTAGTGAGATAGACTTTGGGGAGATAAATTCTAAAACAGCATTGGCTGAGCTTATAGAGGGTAATCAGCTCTTGCAACTTTTTTTTTCTTTAACAGGAAATTTATTGGTTAGTTCAGCCAAGAAATGGCTTCACTGTTTTTGGCAGTTGAAACAATTGCTTGTGCTTGGCATAAAACAGACAAATAACAACCAACAAACATAAATGATAATTCTCTGGTGGGACGAAGGGTCTTTATCTACTTTGCACTATAAAACATTCCACATACAGTTTTAAACTCTTATAACACGGATTTTATAGATTATGGCAAATCTGTTGCTATAATGGGAGACAATTCCATTTTTTCAATCTATCAGATGCCAGTGGGCGTCTTTTTTCCTACTTATCTTATTTTCTCAATAGCTCTTCTTATTGATTGTGATTTTCTAGTAACAAAACTGGAAGAGACAGTTTTGTTTGTCTGGTGCATTAGATAATTCACAGACTCCCCTTGGTGCTTTAAGTTGATCACATTTCCTTTTTCTGAGAAAAGTCAGGTCAGTCCTGGTGGCTTCCTGAGCACAGCCTGTGAATCTTAGCTGGTGTTTCTTTGTATGTTTATTTCCTTTCAGATGCTAGGTGACGTGACAGTGGCCATGTGTTAGCTTCCTGTTGACGTAAGGACTCTGATGGCACTAGGGCTTAGCTGCTACCTTTTCCTAAGGAGGCCAGCTCAGTCCTACATGTCATTTATGCAGCTATCAAACCATCAGAGCAAATCACAGATCTTATTTTGCACCTGCTGAATGCAAGGCACTGTGCTCAAGGAGATTATAGACTATTTATGGCAGTCACATTAAGCAGGTGAAGGATGTCAGAAGGGGAGCTTAATTGCCAAATGATTCACATTGATTCATACAAGGGAGACGGCGCTTCATGCTGGGCATCCTGCGGAAAGTTCCTGAGACAGGCGGAATGGGGATGGGCGCGGGGGCTTGGAGCACATGGAGGATAGGTGGCAGGAGAACCGTTCTGACAGCCGTAGAAAGTTGCCCACTGTAGAAAACTAGTCGGAAGGAAGAAATAGAGTCTTTCGACCTAGATTGAGGAGAATCTGAGTATCAAGGAATTAGGGTTTCTACTTGCGAGGCAGCAGAATGTCGTGGAAAATTTGTGAGCAGAAGAAGGATAAATCAAAGTGGTTCTTTAACTAAGAGCAGAGTACACCACCAAATAAAGCTGGAGAGAAGCATTAGGAAGACCAGATGGGGTGAAAAGAAAAGAGCAGTAGATTTTTGCCACCAGACCTCTTTCTTTTCATCCCATCTGGTCTTCCAAATATACAGTTTCCAAAACAAACATTATTTTTCTGTATTAAATCCACCCCTGTGGCCTACTATACTTACTGACCAAATGGACACGTGACTTAAGCGGTTCAGAAAACCGCTGATTTAAATGATTTTCTTCTCTGAACCAGCCTATCACTGGTGGCTCTTACATATTATTTTTGTCTTTCATAGAAAGTCTTGTGGCCCCTTCTTTGGGAATCTAGAAGAATAAGACCAGCTCATCTTTCCCAAGCACTTGTTCTTTGCTAACACCAGAGCATAAAGTAGCCCCTTGACTTCAGGACAGGAGAGGAACATGTGTGACAGATAAGACGTGTTGTCACCTTGAATTGAGAATGATGATTCTGGCCCTTAGTGGAAGGAAATAGCAGCCATCTTGAAGTTCCCAAGAAGTCAAGTAAAATTTCAAAAGCTCCTGTAGTGTCTCACACATTTCCTTATCTTACTGTGCAACATACTAACATACTTTTTTTTATTTGAAGAATAAAAGAAAAAGAAACAGAAAGGCAAGACCAAGGTCATCCTCCCATCCCTTTCCCACACCTCCCTCCCTCTTGATATCCAGTACCCTCTGTTCAGCTATCTGTCATCATTTTATTTTTAATGGTGTTTGTCAGTTTATCAGCTTTGTTTACTTTTTAAAAAAAAAAAGATTTATTTATTCATACAGAAAACGGGTACAAGCCAGAGGTGAAGGGGCAGTGAGAGTATTCACCAGACAGAGTGGGGAGCAGAACAGGCAGATCGATGAAGTACACTGCTGAGGGGAGCAGAAGGAGAGACAAAGATTTATTTATTTACGCATACAAGAACTGGGGTGTAGGCTAGAGATGCAGGGAGTCAGAGCATTCACCAGAGTCAGAATAGAGAGCAGAACAGGCAGGTTGACTGAAATACACTGCTGAGGGGAGCAGTGGGCCAGACAGGACAGGTCTGCCACACGATGTGGGTCAGCTCCCTGGCCGGGGATCGAACTCATGCTGCAGTGGCTGGTGACAGCTTGATAGTGCTGCCCTTTACCCCAGAGTCACTGGAGAGGCCTCTGTTTTGTTTTCTTATATTATTCACTATTTGTCTTTATGCAACAAGCTTTTAAACACAAATGCATCCATTGAAATTTGGCTTTAGGTTTGGCAATTTGTAAAACCCACTGGGGGAAAAATGCATTGCACATATGTTTAGCAACTCAGATCACCAGGAGGAATCAGTTTCTTAAGTCTTAAAATATACACAGGATTGCCAAATTACTAATTTTATTTTTTATGCAAACTGATCGGGCACAAGACTGTACAGCACAATGAATAATATGTGCCCAGCACTGTTTGATGTGGGGTGTTGCAATGAAATGATTCTTGTATCTCTCTCCCAATGTAGATAGTAGTCACCACCAACACTGGACAGGACTTGAAAAGTTATCACAATCAGACCATTAGGTGAGTGTGATTCTTTTTTTCTTTTTAGTTATAATTTTGCTGCATAAGAACTAAGGGTCTTCCCACCTTAGGACTGAACCCTAAGTTCTTCTCACACTTCCTGACTGCTTTAGTGTGTGGACTGTAACTAGCCTGCCCTGTAACCAATCTTTGTACTTTTTTTTCCTACTTTGCACAAATTGTTCCTGTTTCCCCCTCAAACTTTTCTCCTTACTAAGGCAGACAGGCAAATGCTCTCTCCAGATCTCATTGTAAATTTTTCCTCTCCTGACACTTGATAATTTATTTTCTTTGAAAATTATCTTCTATGAAGCGTTCTGAAAAATAAATCAAAGTATTAATGTTGCTTATCAGGAACGGTTGGTACCTCTGGCTTAGTAAAGAACATAAAAGCAGACAGTCTTCATATTTATGTTTATCATCAAAATTCAAAATGTATGCAACTGTTGATATGGGTGTAACTTTTCATCCTGATAGAACCATTCTCTGCAGGAGTTACAGAAACTGAGAATTGTGTCTCTTGCCTTGTATTTGCTATTTTTTAATTTTGCTTCTACAGCTCTGTATGGACAGTGACTTTTATAGTGGCAGAACCACGGGCAACCTTTTTTAAGAGCTCTGGGTATGTCATCATAGCTAGGTTTTATATATATATATATATATATATATATAAGATGAAATGCTTAAGAATAAGTCTAGAGAATAGAAACAAAGCTCACCAGCATTATATACATAATTTAAAAAGCATGTTCCAGGACTGTTGGGCTGGTTGGCCAACAGGGAGGGTTATTCCTCTCTCCTGTCCTCCTTTAACTCCACCAAGAAGAAAGCTGCCTCCCCAAACAGGCTCCACTCACTCAAAGCCCCCACATGCCCTGAGTTAGCTTGGAAACCAATTATTTGAGAAAAGAAAGCCAAGAGGGGCAGAGACACTGAAACAGGAGCTCACACACTAAATTATTTTTTACCATTCCTGTTTACATTTACATGAACTGATTTCTTTTCGGCTTTGGGTACGTGGAACAATTCTTATTTTCATGGTCAGAGCAAAGGATTAGAGTTACGTAGAAAGGCTAAAGAAGTATTATTCCTTAGCCTGCAAGGAGAAGGTTGGGGTGACTGGCGCTTACAGGCTGAGGCCCAAGAGCGGAGCTGCAATCTGACGTGCACCGCAGGGCTCTGACCCGTCAGAGACTCAGCGTGGCGTCGATATGTGACAGGTGGCGGCCGGGGGCTTCTCTGCAGTTCCAGCCAGCCTGGATGTTCTCTTTGCAGAACCAGATGACGTGTGGGCCCCATCAATGAAGGGTTTCCGTTTCAGGGCATGAATTCTGAAATCTTTCTCTCCTCTTTCATCCCTGGCCTCCAACCCGAGGAAGTTTTGACAATAGTTGGAATTTTCATTTTCTGTACAAAGACTTCCTGTCCTCTGAAATCCCAGGCATCTGTGCTGACTCCCGGATAGAGAGCTCACAGGGTATGGGGCTGGGGCAGGATGAGCTAGTTGACTAGGAATGTCGCAACCAAGTCCCACAGATGTGACCTACGCATCAGGAACTCACTGCCTTGCTGTTCTCAAGGCTGGTGCAGATCATCGCCCGAGCTTCGGCGAAGGGTGAGCTCCAGGCCTCTTTCTAGCATCAGACAGTTCATGGCTGGTGGCAGCAGAAATGCAAACGTCACAAGGCCTCCTCCCTCTGTGCGGGTCTCTGTCCAGACCTACCCTGGTTATGTCCTCGCTGGGAGGACACCAGCCGCCCTTTCCAGGATGGGCTCATCATGGCTAGTTCCATGTGCCATGTGCTTATTTCCAAACCAAGGTCACACTGTGAAACATTTGAGGTTTAGAACTCAATATGTGAAGCAGAGACAGAGCAGTATGATCGTATGATCCCACGAAGCGGGGGTGTGATGCGGGTATTTTTACCAATCTAATATCCCAATGAAAGACTGAAACAATTCTGCAGTTGGTCATACAGGCAGGCGGCCCCAGACTCAAGAGTGCCCTCAACATGGCCTTGCCTCTGTTCCCAAAACCACCCCCCACTCATTCAATAGAACAACCAGGTAATCAATGCTGAGCCCACCTGGGATTCCTCCAGTTAGGTGTTTGGAATCTCCCTTTCAACTGAGTCAGCCAGTGAACTAAGCATCAAATATTTAGGTGATCTGAGGAAAATCTATTAACCTTCCCTTTTATTTGTTCTTGTTATGTAAACACGATGATGCCTGTTAGCCCACGAAGGTGCTATAGGGAGGTCAGTAATTAAGTGCTAGGAAGTGCATTGCTACACACACCTGAGACTGTCAAGGAGATTAGGTGATAGCCTCGGCCCGCATGTTGTTCAGTCACTCATTCTTTCACGCGTTCGTTCATCCACCCAATCCATATATCTTCATTCACCCATCACACCTATACGTGACAGGCACAGTGCTGCGTCTCAGGGAATAAAATGATGAACAAAATAAATGCAGCCAGTCTCTGCCTTTGTGTCACTAAAACATCTCCCTGGGAAGATAGATCTTAAATACATTCACAGACACATTAAAATTGCAAACTGTGATGAATGCTTGGAAGGAAATGAATAGACGGGCTTGAGAGGCTACCACAGGTTCAGAATTATACCAGGCCCTGAGCAAGTGACATTGAAGAGGAGATTTATTCAAGGGGTTAAGACGGGCAGCTAATTGGAGGCTCTAAATCCCACTAATAAAAGGACCCCGAGCTGGTGACATTTCCGAGTTCTGGGCGAGACTTCACTTCACGATGGCGGCCATTCTGTGGGCTACAGCTCTGCTGTGGTAAACCGGGACTATTATCTCTGTCCAGAGCAGAGTAAAGATAGTTTGCCAGAGTGTCTGAGGCTTTGAAATGGGCTTTGGGCTTTGGAGGAGTCTAGCTCAGCTTTTATGTCAGTGAAATTGATGACCATCAAACAATGCATGGTACAAAGTAATGTCTTGCAATCTTTCTGCAGTCACTGAAAATTTTAGAGGAGAAAAATTTGATGGCGACAAGCAGGCGAGATCTCCTATAAGCTGTATTATAATAATGACCAAAAAAAAAAAAAAACTCATAAATTTCAGTCCAGTTCCATAGGGATTAATTAATTTATAGGTTAGTTGAGAAAATCAGTTAAAGCAAAAATCTGTTTTTTTTTAAAGATACTTTCCATCAACATGTATTTTCTTTCGAAGACTAGACAGGTACATTCATCTGCCAGTTTTTCTAGATTGGGCCTTTCCTTTGATTACAGTTCTACTGATTGGAGTTCCCTGTGGTCGTTCTTGCATAAACAGCACCCAATTTCTGTATTTTGTTTTTTTCCAAATGAGAAGAGAACAAAGACACTTGTGTAACTCTTAGAGCCCAAAATCCAGCTATACTATTTCTATTTCTTTTGCAGTTGTCCTATTTCCACAATAATTTTCTAGCAAACATTATTTAGTTGGTAGGTCTTTGAAAAATAGTCAACTTAATTTTTATAGCGCAGATAACCAGCCCCTCCCCCCATTTCACTGGGTGGCATCGATTTAATTAAATCTTATGACTAACATGACCACACATCTGGCATAATTGGATTTAAGAATAAACACCCCTTACTCTTGTTAAGTATTGCAACTTAAGCAATTCCAGTGAAACTATGTCTACCTTCACCCTGCAGGTAACACACGTGTCTAAGATGTGCCAGACCCTTTGTTAAGTATCAGTTTATTTAATCCTCATAACAGCCCTGTAGATAGGATCTTATTATCTTCATTTAAGAAATGAGAAGACCCAACGGGATTACAACTGAGATGAAAAAATGTACAAAATGATGTAAAAATAAACTATTATATTATTTAAAAAAAAAAAGAAAGAAAGAAATGAGAAGAGGTTTCAGAGTAGCCTCAGCCAGGAAGCCACTGAATGTTGTAGGAATCAGGAGAGTGGGGGAGTTGGTCACGTGGTGCTGTTAAGAGCGGTTCTTCTATAGAAGATTCGCTCCCTATCCTCTGATTGCAAAGCTCCAAATCATGAAAAACAGAATCAGTACATGGAGCTTAGAGAGAATAACTGAGGTCCCAAATGAAAAGAATGAGAATGCCATCATCTTCTCAACTCTGGAATTCTGAAGCTACCAGATGATGTACTTCTGTATTATTTCAGTTGCATTTGTAGAAAGTGCACTTGCTTTTTTTTTTTTAAATTTATTTATTTATGCTTACAGAACTGGGGTACAGGCCAGAGGTGTGGTGGGTGAGAGGATTCACCAGAGACAGAGTGGGGAGCAGAACAGGCAGATCAGTGAAGTACACTGCTGAGGGGAGCAGCGGGTGGGTCAGGAGAGGTCTGCTGCGCCATGTGGGTCACTTCCCTGGGTGGGAATCAAACTCGTGCTGCAGTGGTTTCAGAGAGCTTCATAACGCGGTGCTTTAACCGGTTACACCACCAGGGAGAGCCTGCTTTTTTTTTTTTTTTTTTAAAATTGGTTAATTTAAGCATCTAAGAACTGGGGTGTAGGCCAGAGGTGTGGGAGGTGAAAGACTTCACCAGAAAGAGACAGAATGGGGAGCAGGGCAGGCAGATCTACTGAAATACACTGCTGAGGGGAGCAGCGGGTGAGACAGGGGAGCACCAGGTGGGTCAGCTCCCTGGCTGGGATCGAGCTCTACTGCAGTGGCTGGTGACAGCTTGAGCATTGGACTTGACCCCGGGACACTAGGGACGCCTCTTCTACCCGGCTCTTGCTTCTTGCTGCCCTCTTGGAGGTGTTCAGAAATAGCTCCTTATTTCACCGCCTGCCTCTCTAGCCCTGGGCCCTGTAAGGGTTGGGTTCTCGCTGACAGTCAGTGCATCTCTCTCCTGGGACAACCCCGGCTTATTTGACTTCTCCATTCCAACTGCTGGCTGCCTACTCTGTCCCCACCCACCTGGCCCGTTGCTCTCGGCTCCCAGGACTCCTGGCGGTTTGACCTTTGCTTTCTTCCCTCCAGTTTCCATCTGCCCTCCACGCTCCTTCTTCTTTGCCTGGTGTCTCGCTTGATGCCTGTCTTGACCCCCCCGCTGTATGCTGTCATCACACCGTGTCCTCCCTTTCCTATTTTAGACTCTAGGTAGGTAAAGAATGCACATGGCTTAGGACAGCAAACCTGCAAGAAAAGGCAGACAGCTCGATGCCTGGCTTGTATCGCTGCCCCCAGCCACTCCGCCAGCAGCAGTATTTCCAAGTCCAGTCCTCGTGGCTGGACACGGGGTGGGGGGGCCTTGCCGATCTTTGGTGAACTTAGGTGATGCTGCACTGAACAACTCGTGCGTGTCATTCACGCCAACCCAAGCTTCCTCTCCTTTTTCCTCCCCCATCCTTCAAATTTTTCAGGACACACTACACACCTAGCCCATGACCTGTGCCGACCTCTTGTCTTCAGGATTCTGACCTCTTCCTCACTCTGAAACGTATTTTCAGTTAAGGCCAATAATAGTGAATAATGCCCAATGCCCACGGTTGCAGACAATTTCACCAGTACCAGTCACCAGCTCATATTGAACATGGAGAGTGCTGCAGACATTCTGCTGGGCCCTGGATGTTACGATTTACTTTATTTTCCTACCAGTCCAGTAAGTCAGGGACCATCATCTTACGAGGAAGAAAACTCAAGTCTCAGAGAGGTTAAGCCGCTGCCCAAGGTCACAAGCAGAGCTGGGTTCCCAGCCCAAGTCTGCCTGTTCCTGCATGGGCCCCTGAGCAGGCGTCAGAGGGGAGGGTGAGCAGAACTTTGGGGTAAGTCAAGGAGCGGGGGTCCACGAAAGAATCTTTAAGAATCGTGTTTCAGACCCAGGGCTGTGTTAATCCTCTGTGTTTGCGTCTAGCTTCCGGGAAGACTTCTATTACAATGACACTGCTGGGTACTTCATTATTGGAGGGAGCCGCTACGTGGCCGGCATTGAGGGGTTTTTCGGACCCCTGAAGTACTATCGCCTTCACGCTCTGCATCCTGCACAGGTGAGCCCAGGAGAAGGCGACGCCTGCAGGTGCTCGTAGGCAGAGGGGCTCAGGCACTGGGGGCCTGGTGGAAACAGAAGATTTATCCAAGTTGGACCTCGCATCGTTTCTGTCGTCAAACATAATTAATATTGAGGCTTTCCCCCAGCAAACATGATAATGGATTTTTGTTAACACTTGGTTCATTTACTGCTCATAAAATGGAAACCATTTACTTCCTCTGTTTTAATAACTACTAGCTTAATTATAGAGTAGATTTTTATCAAGCTGGTGCCTATCCAGTGATTAGGCTAATGAAAGGCGAGAATCTTAGTTATTTGGAAAAGCTTCTTTTATACGCTATTATTTAAAGTATCAGAAGAGGAGATGCCCCAGCAAATGAGAATCTTGTTTCCGTTCGCTGCTTTCTGCAGCAGCGTGGGGCCGCAGCTCTCCCTGGGCCGGGGTGGCCGTGATGTGGAGACTGCAGAGGGCTTCGTGGGCAGAGCCGAATCTGCTGCATGGAGCATCCAAGCCCCACCCACATGTGGGCTGAGCACCTGCCAGGCCCGGGCTGTGGGGGGCATGCATGGAGGTCCCCGGGCGGCCTTCACAGTGCTGTTTACCAACCTTGGGAAGGAGACGTTGGGGTACTGCAGGACCGTCACTTCATTCATCCCTGTGATCCTGTGGCATTTTCTTCTGGAAAGATCACGAATCAGTAGGCAAAGTCAGTTAGGAAAAGTGGGGTGCCCTGTGGCCCATGGTACCTTTCAGAGCCACTGTTGAGAGACGGCTATGAAGAGAAAAACGATGAAGTTCACTCTCTCATGCAGCAAATGTTTGTGGAGCCTCTACTACATGTCAGGCTCTGTGCCCGGTGTGAGGCAGCCACAAGGAATTAAGATAGTAGCTTTTAAAATAATTTTTGAAAGTGAACTTCAATAAGGAATCTGTTTAATATGGTTCAATTTAAATGTAATATAAACTAATATAATGAACTGTACATGTGTTGCAGTAGTCAGTATTCACACACAGATGCATGTTCTATGTGCAGCCGATATGTATACATCAAACACACGTAACAGGAAACATCAAACTTTGCAGTACAGGCTGGATTTTAAATGTTTCTTTAAAATAGGCATTATATAACATCTCTCATGATTTGCATGGCATTTAAAACTTTCTGTGATTTATATATATATATATATATATTTTAATATTTATTTGTGCATACAGAACTGGGGTACAGGCCAGAGGTGCAGGGTAGTGAGAGGCTTCACCAGAGACAGAGTGGGGAGCAGAACAGGCAGATCGACGAAGTACACTGCTGAGGGGAGCAGCAGGCGGGTCAGGAAAGGTCTGCCGCGCCATGTGGTCACCTCCGGGGCAGGCGGGGATCGAAATCATGCGGAAGTGGCTTTAGCTTCTCAGTGCTGTGCTTTAACCTGCTGCGCCACAACGGAGGGCCCCTGATTTTTATATATTAAACTATTTTTTCACATAAATCTCCTGCCCACCAAAAGAAGGGTCACTAATATCACTAGAAATACCTCCCTTGCTATGTTCAGTGAACTCTGAGAACGTGTGTTTCTGCTTTATTTTTTTAAAATAAAAATGACAGCCGGTTATCACCCCGGTTGTGACATCCTCTCAGGCCACGTACCCCACTGTGCCCCGGGGCTGTGATGAGGGATTCCCGGCCTGGGTGTGAAACCTAAGTCATGAAGGAACCCAGTAGCTGCAGTGATTCAAAGGGGAGCATGTATTGGGGAGCTGGGCCAGGAGCGTCCTCCTGGGCTCATGCTGAGCATGGGCTGGGCCCATGGGCCGTCCAGCCCGGGCCGCGTGACCTTGGCGCTGTTCTGGAAAGCTGAAGAGGAGCTTGACAAGCGGAAGAAGATGGCCAGAGGGCTCCAGGGTAGTGGGGGTAACGACGGCAAACAGGGGGCCCCTTGGGAACTGAAGGGGAATACTGAAGGCAGCCTGCAGGGCAGGAGGTAGAAGAGGGTACAGGCCGGGTCTCTGGGGAATCGGCCATTTAAGACGCTCTGAGATGTCCCAGGAGAAACTAGAGGGACGCGCAGGAGCTCCGTGTCCCGGAATTATCAGCATGGCCGTCTCCTTACTTGCAATGTCCTTTCCTTGGTTTTGTAATCTGAGGTCCACTTTGACCCAGAAAGATTAGGGCCAGTATATTTTGAGAGAGGAGCAAGACAAAGGGACTGCAGTCATACAGCCGTTATTACAATATCTTGCTAGAATTGCTCTATTTTATTATTAAGTTCTTGTTGCCAGTAACTGCCTAAGTTATAAATAAACTTTTTCCTAGGTATGTATCTGCAGGAAGAGACATTGGATGTGTCGGGCTTGGGCGTATCTGTGATTTCAGGCATCTACGGGGGTGCTGGGGGGCAGCCCCTGCATGTGAGGGGGAGCTGGCTCGGCAGATCTGTGTGCGAACTAGTCACCCCGTGATGTGGGCGGGAGAAGGTCACCAGCACAGAAATAGCCTCATAGGTGTGAGTAGGTGTTTGATGACAATCGTTCATTTGATTTTCTTGCCTTTGTGTAGATTTTTAACCCCCTTCTCGAGAAGCAACTAGCTGAACAAGTCAAGTTCTATTACGACAGGTGTACAGAGGTTCAGGAGATAGTGTCCCTGTACTTGGCCGAGGTCCAGCAAGGGAGACAAGAAGCATGTAAGTGTCGCGCTTCGGGAGAGGTGTAGTCGGCTCGTGGAAAGCCATTGCATGTATTTATAGCCATTCGTGTTGGGCTTCTCTCTGGTGGAGTAAAACCAGGGCGTCTGATGTGGCCCAGGGGGACACGCATGACTTCCACACCTGGGTGTCAGTGAAAGTGCACCCAGGCCAACAGGAAACAAGAACCCAAACCTGACTCACTGCTTTAACCACATGTAATTTAGCTTAAGAATACAAATGAGAGTGTTCTGAGCTTCACGTTGTGTTATTCCCATCCATAATGAGCTCTAAGGCTGGTCTAAGAAAATAAAAATGAATTGGAAAATAAATTAATCATTAGAAATGTTTCCCCGTCGGTGCATTTTTCTCTTGGACCATTAATATCTGAATATTAGCTTTCAGAAATGTTGAGCAATGACTTTGTTATTTGGGGCTCGGTTGTATTTTTGAATCCTTGAACTTGGCTCATTCTGGAAGCCACGGGTAATTTCAACAGAGGGAATGAATTTCACATGACATTTTCTTGCCTGCTAGTCCCGGCACAGTTTTCACTCAGCCTGGGTGTTTATCGGTTATAAACTTGGTCCTGTCATGCGTCCCAGTGTTCCAGCTTGGATCTAGCACTTATACATTGCTCTGTGCTCAAGATCTTCTTTGATATGGACGCACTAGAATGAGTCACATATGTTCCTTCTGGAAGAAAAATTCCCATGGGGCCTTTGCCATCAGCAAAAGAGAATTGAATATTTCAGTCCTGCCCACTGACTTCCCCATTGCCAGAGCTTGAACTTGCCACTGCAGGCCGTGGGGGTTTGGATGCTTCCTGAACATAGCCAGACTGATAGGGCTCACGTCAAATGCTCCCAGGAAGTGATTAGAGACCATCATAAGTAAGTGTAGAAAGGCAGCCCTTCTACAATTCCATTTAAGAATAGGCTATTCTGGTCCCCAGCTGCTGCTTTCACGGCTGAATCATCCAGAAAATACGATGCTGTCAGGAGAGGGGGAGGATATGTACGACTAGTCATATCCCAAACAGGAAAGATACTGATTTTGATAACTGATGTCATTTCAGGACCGATACCCTGAGTTGGAAGGGCCAGCCTTGCACACTGATCTGTTTGGTAGCTTTGGGGAGATTTTCCTACCCTCTTCTATTGCCTTATCTCCCTGGGGGTCCTTGTGCTCAGCTCCTCACACTGCCAACAAAATGGCCTAGATTTTGGCCTCCTGAGGACCAGTCCAAGGCCAGCTGCTCATTCTGTAGAATTATTCAACAGCTATCAGCAACTTTGGCACATTTCTCTTGGACTTGGCTTTGAATTTGTGACCTCAAGGCAGAAGCATCGTAGCCAATTTCAGATCCCTAATGCGCAAACCAACATCCTGTAATGTGAAGTCTCACCTCTTATTTCTGTTTGCTCTTGGGAGGAAGGGGTTGAGAGGGGGCGAGCCTTTCTTTCTCCTAAGCAGTGTGCTCTATGCTTCCCTTCCTGTAGGCAACCCCCAGAACACCTACCTGGACCTGAAGCGTAGGTATGGCCGACTCCCAACCTGTAGAGCCTTCCCCTGGGAGAAGGGGCTCAAAGATCAGCACCTCAGTTTGTTCGAGGCCTTGCTGGAGATGGGTGCTGCGACAGGTGAGTCGGTCTTTGCCTCGCCTTTGGCTGCTGTGCAGGGAGAACCCCCGCTCCCCTTCTTCCACTGTTTCACTCACCTTCTTTGGTGATTTATGCCTTGAAGTTATTTTTAACCCTAGTGTTCTAGCATAATTTCAAATTTAAATTCTGCCCTTGTGTGTCCACAACTCTCAATATATCTGTGCACATTTCCAACTCTAAAATGCAAGAACTTAAATTTAGGGATCTCTCAGGCAGTTCTTTATTTCAAGCCAAGGCCACAGCCTGAAGCCAGCAGCCATGCAGCCCCCATGTGCAGCTGGTTAGGCGCACACAGTACGGTCAGTTAAAAAAAAATTGAGTGACCAGCATCAAAATCCTTGCGGCAAAATGCAGGTTTTCTAGTTCTTCTCGAAAAATCCAAAGATCTGGCAATGCTCGGCCACCCTTCCTCTTGGGCAAGCTGGGGGCAAGTGTTTGGCACAGGCACAGACCGGCCATCATAATCCCATCTCTCTATTCAGTGCCTGCCTGCTTCATATGCATCCATCTCACCTGCCTGGGCCTCAGACACAGACTTGAGACCCCTGACTTGAAGTACTTCTAAGCAGCACCTCAGAAGCTGCATACTTCTCCAGAATGACCAGCTTCCCGTAGACCAAGGGTTTGCTTAATTAAGTTCCCACGGTAGGGCCACAGCGGATCCGGGAACTATGTCTGCCAGGAAGAGGAGAGATCAGAGTGCCCTCCCTGGAGAAGGGGCCTTCGAGAGGGACAAGGGCAGCTGTCCTCGTGGTCAGAGGCAGTCTGTGGTATCCCTTGGCAGATAGCCAAACCCTTAAATCAGAACGTTGCAGAAACTGATTTCTGCTTCATGTAAGAACCCCCCAGTATGGAAGTGCCCAATGGAATAGATTTCCTTGGAATGTAGTCAACCCACCACCCTCAGACAATTCTGAAAGAATTCAAGCCATTCAGAATGTTTCAGCATCCCTTCATTTGCGACTTGCTGAGTGACTGCTCAAGTTTCTCGGCTAGAGGTCGGAGCTAGGTAAAGCACAGACTCCCTGCCCTGAGGGATGGACTTGAAAGCCCAGGAAAATGGTCATGCATTTTAATAATGGTTGTGAAAGTAAGGGATAAAGGCACAGGTAAAGGAGTGGTCAGTTCCTTTTGGGAATCTGAGGCATTCAGGGAAGGCTTCCTGGAGGCGGGGACAAGGTGATTCTTGAAGGGTCATAGGTGTTTTCCAGATAAGAAAGTATGTATGGGATTGCCAGCAGAGTAGAGGTGAAGAGGTGGGAGCAGCAAAGAGACTTTCATGATGGCAAAGAACTTGGGAAGCAGGAGACGGGTGCTTCCGACTAGCATTCATGGACCATTCTGAAGAGTTTCGGTTTTACATGATAGGTGTCAGGGACCTGCTGAAGTGTTTCCATTGGAGTAGAAACATGATCTGATTTGGGTTTCTGAGGTTACTCTGGTGGCAGTGGAATGTTGGGGAAGGTGATTTGAGAGGTGAGGTACAGTCTATTGCCATGGTCCAGAGAGGAGAGGCTACCAGCCAGTGTGGAGACAGAGCCAAAGGATCTAAAGAGCCTGGCTTGCAGATGCCCTGACTGACTGTGCGGGCTTGTGCAGAAGGAGCTGTGATGCCACTTCTGACCAGTTAGGCTGGTCCACTTTTATTGTATTTTTTCTTTTTAAGATTTATTTATTTATGCATACAGAACTGGGGTATAGGCCAGAGATGCAGAGGCAGCGAGAGGATTCACCAGAGACAGAGCGGGGAGCAGAATAGGCCGACCGATGAAGTACACTGCTGAGGGGAGCAGCGGGCGGGTCAGAAGCGGTCAGCCGAGCCATGTGGTCACCTCCGGGGCCAGGGATCGAACTTGTGCTGAAGTGGCTATTGAAGTGTCTGTGGCTAGCTTGCAGTGCTGCACCACCAGGGAGGGCCCAAGCTGGACCTCTTTGAACTGAGTGTTTACAGATGGTGATCTTGGACAAGCTACTTCACTCTGAGCTTCAGTTTTCTCATCTGCAAAATGGCGATAACCATCCTTAGTGATGAGCTAAATGAATGTAGATATATGTAAAACGTTATGCCATATATATCTGATACTAAATAGTACACAAATGTGTGTGTATCGTATAGATAGTAAATATATGTATATGATATGTTCTTTATGTAAGATAACACCTGGACTCAGCTGTTCCTTATCGCCAGGGGTGTGTCCTGTCCACTTGAGGATGTTCCGTGGCATCATCTCTGGTTTCTGCCCACTAGGGCACCAGCAACACGCCCTCGCCTTTCATCACCCCCTTGTCTAGGTGTGACAACCCAAAATGTCTGCAGACATTGTCACATGTCCCCAAGGAGGGAAAGTCACCTCCCTTGAGAAACTTCCTATATAAATACTGCTGCCGTTACCGAGC